GCCCAAATGCGTTGACCAATAGGACATATAAGAGGGGTATTGTATAAAGAAAAAATAATTTAAATACTCTCTTAAAAATTTTATTTTTATCTTTAAATTCTACATAAAATTTCATTTTACACCTGGTTTGTTATTAATTTTAAAAAATATTTTATTGAAGTAATGATTTAGTTCATAGAATTTAGTACGTAATAATCTGGTATAGTATTAATTTAGTCGTTGAATTTTAATATGTAACAATTTAGTTCTTGTGATTTAAAATTTTATAACGAAAAATATCATCAAAATTAAGTGTCAATTTTATTAAGTAACGATTTACTCTTTATAATCTATTAATATATTTGGTTTCCTGTCAACTTTTATATATATATATAGTAGTTACAAGTTTTAAACTAAAGACTAGATTGTTACCTAACCATTAAATTAAAGTTGGTAGAGTAAGTTGTTACTTCAATTAAAGTAGAGACATCACCATCAATATTTTGTAATCTTAAAACTAATAAAATGTAAATAGACAGTCAACATGAACATGATAAATATATTTAGTTATTTCTTCGTAGAGCTAAAAAAAAATATAGATATATGAACAGACCTTTATTTTTAAATATAATTTAAACTTTTAACTATTTTTCTGCCTTGAAATGATTCTGTGTATGGCAGCATAATAATGTTACTGGTTTTAATACATGAAGTCTCCATAAAATGAGTACATTGATTGCATTCTGAATCTCTGATATGATTTTTAAAACATCATTTAATACTTAATAATTTTCACATAAAATATTCAGTGAATAATTCCACAACAAATTATGACCTAATGAAGTGATATAATCTTTTTAATATATATCTTTGACAAGTATTGAAATCTGAGTTTCGTTTTCATTTAATATACATATCTATAAACCTTAGAAATTTTTTTTGTACAAATTGATTATCATTTTAAATAAAAGTGAAAAAATTTAACCATTGAATGAAGGAACATATACCTATCCTATCAACAGATGCAACTCATGGAAGAGTTACCAACCAGTTATTATGTGTTCTAAAAAATTAAAAACAGGAAACGAGCTAGAACTTTCCAAACGAGTCCTTAATGAGCTCTTTCATTTATTATTACAAATCAAATACACAAGAAAGATTTATATATAATTTTCAAAGCTATATCTTTATTTAATAAGTGTATAATATATTGCAAAAGCGAGCATAACTCAACGGTAATTGATATATATGTGTACTAAAAAAAAGTCCGATTTAAATGGATTATATAATTCACTATTCTAACTTTGAGTGTAGAGATTTGAACCTCGTGAAGAGTGGTAGATAGTATGTACTGAAAATAATGTTTTTTTTCCATGCTTCATTTGGTAGTGATTGGTTGACAATTTTGGGCTTGGGTTACGGGCCTAATCAAGATATGTTGGGTCTTTCTTCGGCCATTTTCAACATAAGTTGGGCCTGGCTTATGAAACGACGTCGCTTCCCGAAGCTCTATTGACCTTCTGCAGTAATACCAAGACACCTGTACCACTCTCCCATTTTCGGACACGTGTCCTCGCAAACCCTTCTCGTGCCGCCACGTACACGAAAAAAAAGTCCTTTAAATTCTTGAAACTTCGCCCTTGACAAAATTAAACCCCAAATTTCCGAAGCCCTAAATCCGAGCTTCCTTCCTTCTGCAGGAATCGAAATAGTCGGCGAGAATTGTGTTCTCCGTCGTGGCCCGGCGATAATTGTCCGAGCGATGGCCGTTGGAATCGGCGTTCCGATCTGCATTGAATGTGGAACCCACAGCAACCCGTGCCGGTGCAAGGTGGTGGGGCCGACGCTGGGATTCTTGGCTTTCGCAGCGGCGGCGGTGGTGGAGTGGCCGGTCGGAGCTCTGGTGTACTGCTTCCGGCACGCGAAGGGCCGCCGCATCATGGCGCATCCGGCCACCGTCGTTTACCCTTCCGTCTCTAATGCGGTTCCAATTTGAGAGAATATGCATCTTTTGTAATTAAGCTGTAATATTATGTGTATTTTGATGTGATGAATGTTTCTAATTTTGAAATATTACAAAGTCATATTATGGTATAAGTAAGAAAATATTTCCACAAAAAAAAAAGTAAGATATAATCAGCCCCTCGACAGTTAAAAAGACGCTGCATCATGGTTCTCCAAGTAGTTGATATGCAGCAAAATATCATTAATATATATTATTATTAATATTAATCGTTAAAATATAAAAAATATAAAAAACAAAGTCATTAATATATAATATTAATATTAATTATTTTTTAACTTATTTGATAGGGCGAAAATATTTATTTGTTAATTTAAATATTTATTTAAAAATTTTAACTTCAATAATTTTTATAAAAATATTTATCGACATCGATATTTTACCGATATTTCTATGAAATTGAGATCTCGATGTTTAAAATTTTTAGTGAGTAAAGTATATTTTAAAATTATATCTAAAAAGATAGATAGAAATAACTAGATTTAAAGGAAAAATAAAATTTTGATTTTTGATGAGTAAAGTATATGTTATAATTATATCTAAAAAGATAGATAGAAATGAAAATAAAATAGTTAGATTTAAAAGAAAAAAACTAAAATAGACGTTTTTACACTCAAATGAACCAAAAATTAATAGTTATTTGGGTAATTGTAATGGCAGTGAAAATAATTCATAAATTTAAAAAAAATGTAACCAGTTTTTTAAAATTTTAAATATGATAAAATATTTGAATTTTTATTTTTGGAATTTTTATTATTTTAATTTTATCCCTTTCATATTTGATATATATCCGATTATTTCTGGTATACTTTTTATATATATTCGATGTACCTGGTATACTTTTTATATATATTCGATGTACCTGATATACATTATCAGATGTATGTATTATATCTCTAATATATATATGATGTACCTCTAATTTACGTACTAAATATATTTACAACTGATATATTAAATATAAGGTATATCAAATGTTTAATTTTTAGAGGTATATCAACTGTTTAAATTCTAGTTTATCATTACAATTTGTTGATTGATATACTATTATTATCAATAATGTTGATTACTATATCACTACTAGTTATTCTATATTAATATTAATTAGATACTAAATATAAAGGATATCAACTGTTTTAATTTATAAAGTATATCAGATTTCTAACTTGTTTTTTTACGTGCATGATCCACATAAACCTTTTATACAATAACTTTATATTTAAATTTTTTTTCACCATTATTTTCATATGAAAAAAATATTCGATATAATAATATTATATCAACACACAGGTATCATAATTATATTAGTAGATATCATGGTTACATCAAAGGTATATCAATGGTAAATTAGAAGCATAATAAGTATATATCAAATATATATCGGTGGCAAATCATATAATCATATATAAGAAGTTATATTGGTGATATATCATTTGTATATCAATGATAAATTAGAGATATATCAAATATATATCACATATATATAAATGTTGTATCGACATGGTAAATCAATGGTTATCATACATTTGTAAGTCATATTGGAAGTTCAGTAGATATCATAGTCATATCTGAAGTAAATCAATTGTATATCATTATTGTATCGGTGGTATATCATAGATATATATCAGTAGTCAGATATATTGCAGATATATTACAGATGTATATTAGATGTATTGTAGGGTAAAGTTGTAATTTTAAAATTGGATCTCCATTTTTTATTGAAAAAGTATTATATTTTAAAAAAACTAAATGTAGTTTCTATTGTATTTATCTTAGTAAATATTTTTGTCATATTTACAAATTGTACCTAATTATTTTAATATTTTACCGAGATTAAAATTAACCATAGTAAGCTTCATTATTTCGCTGAGTTGGGCCAACTTAAAGAAGCAACAGGCAACGGCGTAAGCTGTAAGTGTAAGCGATTGAATATCATTATTGTTATTATTATCGATTTTAAATATAAATAATAAAATACCATTAGATATTTGTTGAGATTATCAAATTTTTAAGATATTTTATTCCATAACTCAAACACTCCATAGATCCATAATCCAAGTGACTTTTTGAATAGCTTTGTATTGGTTCATATAATAATTTATTTTAATTATTAACAATTAATTTTTAAATATTGGTTTTTATATTATTATTTTGAAATTTTTGTAATTCTTTAAAAAAGTTATCCAAAAATTTTTATTTTAAAATAATAGACGCCTTTAATAATAAATATGTAAAATTCTAAAATAAGGAACATATCTATTATAAATAATGAAATACTAAACATGAAAAATTCTAAATTAGTAGAGGTCATGCTTAGTGTCAAAAAAAAAAAAAACTACATATTACACCACATGCTTTGTGGCAATTAATTACACCACAGGCTTCTTCAATTACCTATAAATAGGGGCAATGTGTAGTTCCTTTATACATGAAAATCGGTGGAAAATTCCATTTGAAATATTGTGCCTTCCTTTTATAATTTTAGTGTTTATTATATATATATATATATATATATATATATTATCTTTTCTCCCGTGTACCTGTAGTGCCTCATTTTGCTCCTTAATTTTTTAGCACATTCAAAATTTTTGAAATTTTGTACTTCTAAATTATACATTTAAAAAAATATTACCACAATTATAATCTATTACGTGGATTTCCTCCCCACATCTTTAAGATGTCAGTCCATTAGTAGACTGATAATGTCAAAGTTGTAGGCATATGTTGGCTTATAAAATAGGTTTTTAATAATAATAAATGAATAATATATTAATATATTATATACATAAATAGTAATAGTTTTTGGATCAGACTTGGCTCAATGGACCAATCTAAAATACGACTCAAACATACTGAGTCATGGGCTAACCCAATTTAAAAAACAACATTGACTTAAGGCTAATTTTGGATAATGTGATCGATCTATAGACTTCCAATTCGATGACAAGACTGGATCACAGTTAAATATTTATGACCAAAATAATATTTAAAACTAATTAATATATATTTTTTTAATAATATAAAGTACCCTACAGTACTTTGTAATTGGAATCTTAATTCTTTAAAACATTTATATATTTATTCTTTATGCTCTAAAAGTCCTTGGTAAATAAAAGAAAATTGCAAAAGTTAACTATTATTACTCTTAGTTTTACTTTATGTTTTCTACTTCATCATCAACACTAAATATATATTTATTTAGATTGGAATAATCTAGTTAAGAACTTAAAGACATCTATTTAATTTTTTTTAAGGATAGAAGTTTAATTTTCACTTCACACATGTTATAATAAAAAAATTTAATATAATTAAAGTACATATCTCTGGTCAAACTTGAATTTTCTTATTTTTTTAATTTTTATTTTGATAAAAACTTAATTTTCTTATTGAACTCAAAAGAAAAAAGAATCACAAATCAATTGTTTAATCAATTCTATGTTAATATGAATTTTCAAAGTTGCATTATTCTTTATATGTGGACTCANTCTCTAGATTATTAGGATTGCAACTAGAAGGGAGTTTATGTGTTATAATAAAAATGTAATTAAAGGTTTGGGTTTAACTTTCCACTCTTTGAACCTTTTTTATTTTTTTATTTTAACAATTGACTTATATATTAGGTCGGTGAGAATTAGTTAATTAATTAAGTATAACTTATTGTTGGGTTTTGGACAAATATTAGAAAGAGAAAATTATCTCACATCGGAAAAGGTACAAGATACAAGTGTGTGCTCCAATTACTATAAAAAGAATTCATGTATTTTAATTTTAATAATCTTAATTGCAACATTTTTAAGCTTGATATACTAGATCTAGTTAACTGTGTTTTACTTTCTTTTAATTTCTTAGTTATAAAAATACGAGGGTTTCCCTCACTTATTAGCTTATTTTGATTTATTTAATTAATTTAGTTGGTTTGTTGATAATAATATTGTTTTTATAAAATAATAAGTTTATTTACTCTCCATTTCTTTATGTGAGACATAAATTTAATACATGAATGAATGTAATGCCATAATTCACGAACTAAGGTATAGAAATAGATGGCTCAAATATTTTATTTATACCCTTAAAAATTTAAGTATATAAAAGAATGGGATCCCTCTGATTAAAAAGAATAGTATTTTCATTCCCTTTACTAAAGAATATGATCAAAGCTATAGCTTTTCTCTTCATCTTTTACACATTATTCAAGTGGGTATATGATTCCTTTCTTCTCTCATATATTTATATATATTATATATATTTTAACATATAAATTAGATTTTATAATAATATAAAAGTAATGCCCATAATATAGGGTCAAAATGAGGCATTAATTAATAAAATGTGTTATTTATTTATTCCAAGAAAATTTTGTTATTTTTTAAATATGTGTTTGTATTATAAGATTTCATTTAAAAGTTATTTTAGAAATCTTCACCAATACATGTTTTCAAAACTATATATTTTTTAATTTTTAAATCTAGAATATTTTTTTAATTTAACTTGGTTAATTAGGATAGCTTTGGAAATTTAAAATTATATAAAAGACAAGAGATATGTCAAAAAATAATTCTTTAACCATCACACTTTTTAATATATTATACACTAATACTAGATTAGGATATGGTTTTGATTCTACTTATCTGTTTTTTTTTTAAATTTCCTATTTGATATTTATAATCTTAAATACTTAAAATTTTCTAACAAAGACTTTTTTTAATCTTCTAACTTCTCTCCATTTTTCTTTTTTATTAAACAATCCTTAACTCTAATTATCTTTTTCTCTACGAATGTCATGAACTATATGTAAGTATTAATTGACAATAAAAAAATAATACTTCTATCAATGTTTGATTTAAATTATTATTAGTGGGAGGATTGACAACTTGAGACTCATTAAAACTTTGGGCGACTTAAATAAAAAATATATATATTTTTTAAGTTGGAGACCAAATGATGAACTAGAAACTAGATAAATTGGAATGATAAAAATTGTATTTTAACCTCATAATTATTATTTATATATATATATTATAATGGGTAAGGATGAGAATAAAAGTCCACATCGTTTCTTAATCGGTTGAACTAT